TGCAGTATCCAGTGCTATTTGTGCTCTTGCTGTCCAGGAAAGAGGCTGGTTTCCTTTCAGCAATGGATCATGAAGATGATCATTGAGGGATCCATTCCGAACAAACTCATATACCAAGCACAGATGCTCACTTCCGCTAGCATATCCCAGCAGCTCCACCTAAGAAGAAAAAAATTGTTCACTTAATTTTTTCTTTATAAAACTTTTTACTAAGAAAACAAGGGGTCTATTTGGGAATGTTGACAATCAAAAGCGTTTCTAACTATGTTTGGCAGGAAAACTTTAAAGTGCTTCCAAGTTAGAAGTTCTTTTTGGAGAAGAACCTAGGAGGCACTTCCGCTCATAATCATTTTCTTATTCTTTCTAAAAGTGCTTCACATGGAAGCAGTCCCAAATTAATGGACCAAAATCTTTTACATTCTTTTTTCTTCTTCTTACCACATTGTTATGATGGATCTTGCATAAAACCTTGAGCTCAGCAAAGAACTCCTTTGATCTGCTAGATCTCATCTTCTTAACTGCTACCTCCTAGTTCTCCTAATACACCGAAATAAACGCTGCCATATCCGCCCTGTCCAATCTTCCTGGTGTCATCAAAGTTATTCGTAGCCTGTTCGATTTCCTCCATCGTATATATAACTGGCCTTTCATTCTCAAAAGTTTCTGTAGCAAGAACAAATAGTGTGTCACATTTCGTATGTTAATGTATTAATCTAGAAATTGATATATAAGTGAACCCATTAAAATGGTTTTTCGATATGGAGTTGAGATTTTTTGTCTTACCTTCCATTCGCCTTTTGAAAAACTGTTGCTTTAGTGAAACCTTTTTGGCATTTGAGTTCACATCTTCTTCTGTGTTCTTACCTTTTCTATATCTTATGAGAAGAAATATGGTGAATGTGACCACCAAAAGAAACCCAACAGCTGACACTATCCCTATAATTGTAGCCAAACTGAGTCTCTTCCCTGGTTCGATCAAGAAAATATGTCATTTATCGTACTTTACTTAAAGAAAATAAGCATTTGTGACAAGAAGCTTTTATTAACACTTCAAAATAGTCATCCCGCACTTCTCACAGTGATAAAATATCAGAGAGCAAAGAGTGTAGTATGACTATTTTGGCATGTCAGCAACAATTCTGTTACGATTTTGAAGCAAAAAAAAGGCACTACCTTGCTGTTGGGCTCGAAGTCCATTGAGCTCCATTGGCACAAACAAAACCCATCCAACATCTATAAAATTAGGGGACTTAGTGAAGTTTTTGTTCAATTTCTGAATCTCACTCTCATATGCAGATAGAAGATTTTCAATATCTGATAACGTGTCATGATCTTGAACTGTGTATGTCACAACCTCCTGTGATTTTTTCTCTACACACCCACAAACAAGGTGAAAAGTAGTCATGTTTCCCACAGTAAATTGCTGCTCCTCTTCCCCAATTTTCACTGCCTGCCCACTGTAAAACTCACTCACCACATTTCCAACAGTGTCTCCTTCTTTAACTAGGTAATTTGTATCATAGAGGTAAACTTGGGTGCCCTTGATGTCCTTACAAGTGCAAGGCACAGAAACAAGATAGTCTTTTGGGTGTTGGTCGTCATGAACAATTGGCTTGATGTTGGATGGGTTGACTGAGTAAAAAGTGGCTATTTCTTCTATTTGGTGGCCTTTTGAGATGTGGTATAGAGAGGAATTGCAGGTCTGGGTGTGGTGAGAAGTGGAGCAAGGAAAAGGGTGCACTCCAATAGTGTTGTCTGAGAGAACATTGGTATAGAAGAAAATGGTGAAGAGAATTGAGAAAAAATGGAACTTCTGGTTTAAGGGAGCCATTTCCATGGTGAAATAATGATCCTTGGCTTTGATGAGGTGGGTAAGAATAGCTTCTGGTTTTGGCTATACATGCTTTGTCATTTTATAAAATTTATAAAAATATCATAACAATTATAAAATGCACTTATCATGAATGAGGAGGTCAATTTTAAAATGAGATATTAAGTGGATTTGAGCTTATTCAAGTTCGTTAGAACATGATGTTTTTTTTACACTTAAATTCAAATTTCTCCTCTCGTTGTTTAATAAATGTAGTAAAAATTAATAACACCATAAAGGATAAAAAATAGCAATGTTTGAATTTCTTTACATGAAGTATTCAGCTCTTTACACGAGAACACCACCACGTAGCACTACAACATGTATGTGGCAAACTTTTTTTTGTAACGCTAAGGAGATCATTTATTTAAACTATATTTTTGTGAAAAATATGACGTGATTGTTGATTAAATTATTATTTAAGTGTTAATTAACTGTTTATTACATCACATTGTTTACAAATGTGATATAATATATTAGTATAATTATCATTACTCACTTTTAAAAGGCAATCCGACCACCACAAACCAATTCTATATTCTCATCAATTTTCACCGGACACAAAAATGACTTGAATTATTAAAGTTTTAATCATTTAGATATTAATGGGAAAAAAAAAAAAAAAAACCAAATGTTGTGTCTCATCCAACCAAAAGGGACCAAAGATATTAGGTAATAAAATACCATTAAATATTTTAATTGTAAATTTAACAAGCTTGATGGGCTGCAGTCTGTGGATTGGCAATATCTTGGTGTCTGTTGGATAAGTACTCGGAGCAAAATCTTATTCACAAAATATTCTTATATGTCAAATATGCAATTAGTTAAAGATTAAGAAAGTCTTAACACAGATTTTGGGATAATAAGGGATTAAAAAAGGAAGGTTAAGGGATCATTATTCTTTGTGCTTTGTTTAATCCGTCTGAAAGGAATGTAACTGGCCGGGTTTATATGGAAGTTTGTCGGCGGATCATGCGTGAGTCATTTTCTTCCTTCGTTAATATTAGGGTTTACTTCTTAAATTGACAAAGGTTGTTATGTCTTTGCATTCGCTGGCGATGAAGATTCAAGCTGCATCTGTTGTGTTGCTGGACACATCATATATGTCACTGTTTTTTATAGAGGTTTTTGAACTTAATCCTTGAAGAAAATTAAAGTTCAATAAAAATTCAGTGTTAGATTACATATTAATTTTAGTTATTTAGTGTGTGGTTAATTCAAGTTCATATGTAATTTTGTTAAGGCCTTTTGGTTAAAATGATCTCTGAGATTTGCATAACACGTCACTTTGGTCCTTGGAATTGAAAATCAATAGAAATGATCCATGAGATTGTCTACCATCTATTATTTTGGTCATTTCATTAAAAACTCCGTTAAGTGTCCCAGAGCTCTTGGCCGGAAGTTTGAGCAATTTTCAAAGCTTCGTAACTCAATCGTTTCTTAACCAAATTTGATCTATAATATATCAAAATGAAGATAGGAAATTGTAGAACAAGATTATACCATTTGGAAGCCCAATGGTTGCCGAAGATGGCCGGAAAATAGCCTGAAAGATGACTGGTCTGCGGAAAAACTGAAAAACTTGCCGGAAACTGGATAAACTTTAAACGTTTATAACTTCTTCAATACTCAATGAAATCGAGTGATTCAAAAACAAAAATCATACTTCTTGACGAGACGAAGATAATGGTACATTTCTCGACAGCTAAATAACCATGGTTTGGCAGAAAAACGGCTCGAAAGTGGCTGTCTTGGTCTTGAAAGTACCATTCTCTTCATCTCGTCGAGAAGTATGATTTTTGTTATTGAATCACTCGATTTCATTGAGTATTGAAGAAGTTATGAACGTTTAAAGTTTACGCAGTCTCCGACGAGTTTTCCAGTTTTCCCGCGGACCAGTCACATTTCAGGCTATTTTCTGGCCATCTCCGGCAACCATTGGGCTTCCAAATAGGTATAATCTTGTTCTACACTTTCCTACGTTCATTTTCATTTATTATGGGTCAAATTTGGTTAAGAAACGATTGACTTACGAAGTTTTGAAAATTGCCTAAATTTTCGACCAATAGCTTTGGGACACTTAATGGAGTTTTTAACGGAACGACCAAAATAATGGATGGTGAACAATCTCAACCTCTCAGGGACCATTTCTATTGATTTTCAATCACAGAGACCAAAGTGATGTATTATGCAAATCTCAATGATCATTTTGGCTAAAAAAACCTTTTGTTATTGAATTTTTTTTTAATGCCTCCACATTAAATTTTAAATTTATTATTATACACATTTTAATTCATTAGTTTTGTTTAACTTCCTCCAATTATTATACCTGAACGTCCGCACCATAATATTTTACTAAACTAGTGTAGTAAAATGTTTGTATGTAAAGACATATATTATAATGTGTTAGTGGCACATAAGAATATATACAAAAACACAAATGTACCAAAAGTGCATACCTAAACATATTATACTGAACTAATATACTGAAATGTACATACCTAAATATATTGTAATAAATTAGTGATGCAAAAACATAAATATATATGAAAAATCTCTACCAAAATATTTTCTCTTATAAAATACTAGAAAAGACATTGACTGCATATAAATAAAATATAGGGACTGAAGTCATTTTTTAATCTTGTAAAAGACTTTTTTTTTTCTAAACTTATCTTATTTAAGGATTAATATATAATTTTCTATTTTACATATAATGCTAGACATTTCGTGACGCGGTTGGGTTGCATTTACTTGCAGTTTGCTACACACTTTGTTACGGGTTCAAGACCGGTTAAAACAAAGTGCATGTTATGGTGTTCGAAAATTGTTTTAAGCCAGAAGGGCTTTCGTTGCATTTTGTAACCCTTGAATTCAATTCACCAGTACCCATTTTTGGAACGTCCAGTAAAGTCACTGAGTGGGTAAAGTCACTGAGTGGGTAAGTCGCCAATCCCTAAAATTATCTAATCCTTTCTAATCCGTAAAGGAAGCCTTGGAATAATATAAACATCACCAAACATGATTTGAGCTACAAGCCTAAAATTCCTTGCATCAAAGTTTAAAACTCAAAAATTTAGTATGTGATAAGGAAGAACTGGAAAGTCAAACTTCAACCAGTACAAAAGAACCAGGCACTGAAAAATAGCACAGCCATTTATTACATTGCACATCCACGAAACTACAACTGTCAAACGTTACATACATATGGTAATACAGAAAGCAGAAACCAGAAAGCTAAACACACAAACAACATAGAAAGAGCCACTAGCCATTGACGCCCATGTACAATAATATATATATATCCATGATCCACTCTTCAACTTCAACTCTTGACAGTAACATTTACTCCTTCACGGCCCCGGCCGCCTTCTTGGCCCCGGCCGCTTTCTTTACCTCGGCCACCTTCTTTGGTTATTTGATCCCTACCACCTTCCTGGGTCCTTTCATATTCCTGGATAGTCTGGCCCGCTTCTTTGGTCATCTGGCCCACTTGACCTCCAGTCTCCTGCATCTTATGGCCCACAAAGTCTCCAGTCTCCTGCACCTTCTGTCCCAAATATCCTGCCGTCTCCTGCATCTTCTGGCCCAAATACCCCGTGGTCTCCTGCACTTTCTGGCCCATGGTCTGGGGCAGCCGAGATCGGCTCAAGTAACGGACGAGCCAAGAGAAAGACGAGAGGGCTGTGACACCAAAAACCCCCGAAGTCAAAATCCCCGTCACAGACAGGAATATGACTAAAGCGGCAGGGACCAAAACCGGGCTGAAGATAACAAAAAGCGGAGTAGTCATCGCCAGACCAATGATGGTCCCGGCCAGAGTGAGCCCTGAAAGGAAGAGCAGAGTGCCCCCTACCGGAACGAGGGTGGCAATTGCCAGTATATTCGAAGCCGAGGAGCCGTTTTGTTGTTGTTGTTGGTCATACTGGTACTGAGTTTGGTAACCTTGGTGTTTTGGATTGTCGAACTGGATGTTGGTTTGGTACCCTTGGTGTTGTGGTTGCTGCCAGCGGTAGTGGGCCTCAGCCATTGATATGAGATATTAAGAGAGCTAGGGTTGGCTGGGTTTTTCTGGGTTTGGCTTGATCGGTGGAGGTCGAGAAATGAGAGTGAGAAGAAGATGAGGAGGAGGGTTTGGGTTTAAAGGAAGAGAAAGACATCGGTGGAGGGGACACCTGGAGGGAGTGAGGGACACTTGTTTGATGCGTGGAGAGTGAGGGTTTGCATGGTGAGAGAGGAGCTGGAGTGTTCAGTGATATGTCATCAACCTTTTGTTGGTTTGTGTGTTTTAATTTGCTTTCTTCGAAGGATGGATAATGTGGTTTGGTGCAAATGGCAGTGTGAGTTTTTGGGGAGTAGTTTTTTTAATTAAATAAGATTAGAAGGTGATTGAGTAATCAAAATATATATGATGAATTTTATATTTTTGTGAGACGTGTTTTATGATTTAAGTAGTTAATTTTATCCAAGTTTTATCTACATAATTATGTTAATTTGCTACATTAGGCATTTACATTTGAACGCTCTTGTTGAGAAAACAATTTAAGTCTTCTAAATAATTTGGAACGTGGGAAGGCTTCAATATGGCCGGCGTAAAATTGCGTTTTGAATTTGGTGCAGATGGTACGTTTTGGAACTTGTATGCTTTTGTGCTTGGTGTGAAATTGCAAAGGATATCACAATATGGTCTGATAACTGATGATTGTTTAATCTAAAAAAAAAAAAAATCCAATGATCTTCATCATTTGGTTTTACTTAATTTCTAACAATGGTAAGCCTAGTATACTCGTATGTTAATATATTATGATTTATGACGTAGTCATGCCTTGATGGTTGGTGATGATTTATGTGTGCTACGTTAGTTATTTATCATAGAGAAACATTTAGGTATGGAAACCAATTATATCGCAGGATATCATTGATGTTTAGTTCACTCTATTTTGTAATTTCTTACTTAATACGAGAGTTACTTTAATCAAACAAGCATATAAAAGATTCTATTAAATATGTCTCGTCTGTTAGTCACCAGGGTGAAAAGATGGGTTTGGAGATTTTTTATCATTAGGATAGTTAAATAAGTTGAAACATCTGATATAACAAAATAACATATTGAGTTGTGAAGTGGGAAATCTTGGTTGTTGGATTCATGCAACTGCCTAGATTACACTAGTCATAGATCTTGTTTTCTAACCAGTCTGAAAGTAGCCATTTTTAAAACCGAAAACACAAATTGGAATGAAAACAAAAAACAAAAAAGTTCATTGTTAGCGTCGTTCTTCTCTCATCTCTCAAAACTCAATACCTTCACTTCATCTCTCTCTTTCATATCCAAATCTCATTTTAGACACTGCTAAGAGATTGATTTGTTTTAAGTAAAAAAAAGATGTGGAAACATATAAAATTGGGTTTAGATTTGTGAAGTTTGATAGCATTGGGTGCAAATCCGAAAACACTTCAGAAACACACAAATTTGGGATTTTAATCTCTCCTCCAACTATTGAAATATGAATTGATAGATCATCGCTATGTATTGGTTATGCTCCCTTGTTCTGAAGGTAGCACAATGGACAAAAGATCATTTGGGTCGGATCCTTCTTCAACAATCATCCGTCCAATATCGATGGTGGGCTGCGTTTGGCAATATACTTGTCCAAGTTTTAAGCAGAATCAATAAACAGATGCTGATTGGCCCTGAGTACAAAGTCTGCTATTGATGCCTTGACCTTTGCGTAGTTCTCGTTTTCTTCTTTTATGTCAATAAACATTTTTCTCCTTTTGATGACAACTGCATCATATTATTCTCCTTAAGATCGAAAATATATTCATGTACCACTCAAATTATTATTATGTTATTTAAAAAAATAGGGAATATAATGACTACTAATTATTATTATGAATATGAATCACATGTGATCTACCATTAAGCATGTAAGTCTATACGTTGTTTAAATATTATCAAATTGATGCAATTTTTATTACAAATCATCTCTTTTCCCTAGTCAAAATTGGGGGCATAGATATTCGAAACGAACACTTAACTTACGACTAAACTCTAGAGCTAGTATTATTCCTAATTCCCCTTAATTAACAATAAAATTATAAAGGGTTTAGCACTACTTGATATGTGCTATATACTTTGGAACAACGAAATATATATACTTATATTCTTGATGAAGATATGAAGATATATCAGCTGGGATTCTTGTGCAATATCTAGGTATAAGATATACAATTTGACTTGATAAAATGATTACTCAAAGACAGAATATGTACCCAAAGAAAGTGCAAATTAATTTCTCGAACCCACAATCTTGTGTTAATTTGTTTATAATCGCATTGACGGCCACCGTCATGGCTGCCATCATTTGTAATCTGAAATAAGAACCACTTTTCGGTTTATAATATTCATGTAAAATAACCACCAGCATTGCAGGGAATAATGTAAAGATTGATCGATGTGTATACGTTATTCAGTGGTTGTTGGCCACATGCACACCCCTTTGCTCTACCCTTAGGGGGTAAGGTATGCTCTCTATAGCCTAGGGTAGGACTCAACATTCTCGCATACCAATCACCTTAATACTCTGATATTTCATGTCAATTGACTTTTTATTAGTTGCATAAATAGAAACACGGTACTCTGATATTTCATGTCAATTGACTTTTTATTAGTTGCATAAATAGAAACACGGTGGCCAACATGTTGACCTTGTGTCATTTTACATTTTACATCTCATAACTAATCTCGATTTCTACCAAACAAACAAAGTCTTACTATTTGAAGATTGTGCATACCTTACCTTAGAGCAAGTCCAATGAAGGGTATAGCCCGATGGACAGGGAACCAAATTAACCTAATCGTCAATCTTCCTTGGTCCAGCTCATGCGAGTAATTGGGCTAAAGGGGGCTCGTGGGAGAGGAGAGGTACGAATCCAAGGCTCGAGCGCCTGAAGGCGCGCTATGTAAGGCTGACGCCAGCCACGTTATAAAATTAATAAAAAAATGTAAAAAATTAATAAAAAATCAGATTTTTTTTTTTAAAATTAAAAAAAATTGATTTAATTTTTCTATAAATATCTTATCATTATCTTCCATCTTACACCACAATTTTATATTTTCTCAAATACTTTGGGTTGTAATTTCTTATTTAATGATAAGTGGCACAACGAGACCAATTAAAAATCTTATCCGAAATTACAAATAAAATTATTTATTATTATTTTATAAAATAAAAATACTAATATTTTATTGCCTATTGCCATAGCTTTTCAGTTTAGGGGTGGAGATGCAAAAGATAATTACTGTTCGTTAAAGGCTGTTACTATTCATTGGAGGGGATTTAATAGGCAGTTACCTTGGGGAACCTTCCAACACTGGAAGTGCTCTTATGTCCACCTATGGTAGTTAAACAATATTTTTTTATTTTACGTCTCATAATTGATCTCAATTTCTACCAAACAAACGAAGACTTACTCTTTGAAGATTGTGCATACTTATCATATGTCCGACTAAGATAATTACATATGATTTAATAATATTGATTAGAAAAGGAATATAATTATTATATTTCATATACTTATTTTTTTTAATAAATGATATTATTTACATTAAGGGAGTGAGAAGTGCGTCAAGCTTCACAATAGACTAGCAATAATGTGATTCAAATTCGTCTTTGGTGAGAATCAAATCAAAGACGTTTCACTTATAAGTAAAGAATAATACCACTAGACCGTATTATTAAGTGACCATTTCATATACTTATTAAACTAATGAAAAGTGTTTGAAAACTTTGAGTTTTAACGAAAATAATAAAATAAAGGGTAAAGTGAATAGTACCAAGATTAAATTTTTAGTGTAAAAATATGATTTTTCGTTAAAGTAAACAGTATCAGAAGTTTTTCGTTAAAATTCCTTTTTTATTATGCACAAGAAAGCAACATTGAGAAATGGGGGTTTCCAACTAAGAACATTAGATGCAAGTGAACATTCTCTTAATCAATTCAACTACAAGATCACTGCAATCATTATTGAAAGAAAAGCGGAAGATTTTTCTTTTATTTTCCGTAATATGGTTTCAACGGGACCGCACTATCTTCCCCCGGCCTCTCGCTATAATCACCATTTGGGTGATACCGCAATTTGCGATCACTGTCCATGGAATACACTTGTGCATGGAATGCACTTACAACCCATGAATAGGCATCAAAAGTGTACCAGGGTGAGTTTTCCCATTGCAAAAAGCAGTAAATTAGTGTATTCCCAAAGAAATTACGTCTGAACCACCAATGAACTTCGTGGCCTTCTTCCAGAATTTGAAGGCCAAGATCATCATCTTCCGTTTTACAGTGAACCTTCAACTTTGTTCCACCACCTAGACGGTTGACTATTAGAACAATGTCGTCATATTCATGTTCTCCATGAACAGTACTGAGGAATTGCATAATAAAAATAGGGATGTGCTATCCACACACCCCAAATTACTCCTCACACACCCCTTGTTAATAAATATAACGATATTGTTTAAAGTTTTCATTTTTATGAATATTGTGTTGAATCTAATTAGAAAGGTAATGGGTGAAGTCTCTTCTGGACCTTGATTTATATATCAAGTATGTATGTGAGTTATCGTTTTGTACGTTTCTCACTTGGTCATTATATTATTTATTACTTGTTAATAACTTTACATGAGTTACATGTTTAATATTCTTCAAATTCTTTACAATTTTATGAGTTTTTTTTTTTTTTTAGTTGAAGTACGATATTTATTGACAAAGAAGGAAAACGTACAAATACTAATGAGGATAGGGTGCTAATTAACAATAGGCCTTGATAAAAACTTTATTGGAAATTTTAACCTGGACGAAAGGAAAAAGAACGTCCTGCACTATATTTTCACAGCTCACTAAATGGTTTTTTCAACACACCAGTTAATAGTTTATTTTTATTCAGTTTAAGAAATCTTAAATCCTTAATCCAACATTGATTTGATTTCAAATTTAGTTGATTTTTTGTAGACATAATTTTTGATGGAAGACCTAGAAAAATAAGTTTCGGATTGTTGAGGGGATAATTTATATCCTGTTAGATTCAGGTCATGATGCACTCGCGGCGCTAAATATGTTTATGATTACCAATTGAATATGATATTGTATTAACTGTATTTGGATCTCACGTCTTCTTATTTCTTTACTCCTTTTGGTTTTTTGTTTCATTTTTGGAATTTTAAAACGATTTTCTGCATCCCTGTTAGATATGCTAGCTGCGTCATTTTCAAAAGCAATATTGAATAGGGTTCTGTCGACAGTAGCTTTTCATATTAATTGCTTAATTAGTGGAAAATTTAGAGAAAAGTGAGGTTCAACCAGTTGATTGCTGATATAAGTTTGAAAAATTAGTTAAGACCATAGAATTAATTATATTTGTTGGATCGAATGCTTTACTGAAAAAGTGAAAGAAAGGGAAAGCATGCATAGATGTGTGTGTGAGTGTGAGTGGGGGTTT